TAATTTTTGGTATAGTAGTTGTGACTTATTCACACTATATACATTTGGCTTCCGCAACAGTTGCTTACTAACACAGTCCCGAAAACAAGGATCTCTCCATTTATATATGCCTAGTTACATTTATTAGTGCACTAAAGCTCCAAATTAAGCTTTTTAATTAGGAATATATAGTTGAAGCATCATGTCAATGAAATGTTGCTACTTGCCTCTTTTTGTATCGTAAACCGTCTCCCTACATTCACAAAATAGAGGTAAGGTCTGCGTACATACTATCCTCCTCAGATCTTACTTGTGGAATTACACTAGGTTTGTTGTCGTTGTCGTATCATGTCAATGGAGTACTCTTCAAGAATTAGTTTGCGTCCATTCAGCGCGACGGATGTTGATGATGTGATGATATGGGGTAGTGATGATCGAGTAACTCGTACCACTCGATGGAAGACTTTGACCTCAAAAGAAGAAGCCTTGAGTTTCATTAAGGAAGTGTGTATCCCTTACCCTTGGCGTGTATCGATATGTATAGATGATCGATCGATTGGATTCTTATGGGTGATAAATCCAGGAAGATCAGGTGTCGATGGCAACAAGAATGAAGGTGTTGCAGATATAGGATATGCTATAGCAGCTGAGTATTGGGGAAAGGGGATTGCGACAAAGGCACTCAAAATGGCAATACCTCAAGTGTTCAATCACTTTCCTGAAATAGTAAAGCTTCAAGCATTTGTTCTTTTGGAAAACAAGGCTTCTCATAGGGTATTGGAGAAGGCTGGATTTGTCTACCAAGGATCAATAACACATCAAGTCCAGATCAATGGAAATGAAATTGTGGTGGTTGATGCTGTTTACACTTTTTTATCCACAGATAACATCCCTCCAAGCCCATGAATTTCAAGTACTTTTTAACTCTATCTTCAGGTAGTGAAAACCGCCCCTTGCAGAAATGCAGGGTAAGGCTGCGTACGATAGAACCTTGTGGTCCGGCCCTTCCCCGGACCTCGCGTGCAATGGGAGCTTCGTGCACTGGTCTGCCCTTTCTTTCTTTTACTCTTGTATTTTTTAAACCTATTATGATAATATTTTTCCTGGGCTGAGTAGGGTCTATCTGAAACAACCTCTCTATCTCACACAAGGTACGAGTAAGGTATGCGTATGCCCCATCCTCCCCGGACGCTACATGTGTGATCGCACTGAGTATGTTATTGTTGTTGTTGTTGTTATTGTTGTTGATGCGCAAGTAAAGTGTTTCCTTCACTTTTTCATTTATCTTAGTCATGGTACATTGGTGCCGCTTGATCAAGACCCGAAGTTGTTTTTTTGGTGGAAAGTTCGAATTTTGAGACGTGAGTACATTCTTGTATTTTTCTAATCTTCTTAATTAGAATTCCTGGCTCTACCCCTACTTTTGAAGTTTTAGAATGCAGCTTTTGGATCACCCTTTCAATTATGCAACCTATGATTTTCTAGTAGAATTCACTGCGACTTGTTGGCTAACGAGTATAAGGTTCTAGGAATAGCAACAGATCAATCTTAAAAATGTCATTATTAGGTCGTCTTTTGACTTTCTCCCCTCTTACTCTTCTGCATTTAGATAAACCCAGAGAGGATAGCTATAGAGTAACTCTTAACTACTGTATATCCTGGGAAACATATACCATAAATTGGAATAATGTTGCTACGTTGTATTTATCAATTAAACTGAATATAAACAGACGAAAGTGCCCTTGAACTTCAAAAATACTGTTCCACCCAATTCATTTTATGTGAACCTATTTCACAAAACTTAAGAAGGAGAAAGATTTTTAAAATTTGTGGTATTAAATATCTCATGATAAGAATCTTTGAAAGTATCACCGCAAAAAATACATATTCCCTCCATTCACTTTTAGCTATCCACGTTGGACTTTTCACCCCCTTAAGAAACAATAAATAAAATATACATTTTACAATTTTACCTGTAATAATGATAGTAATTTCACAAGTCTTGAAAAATGATTTAGAGAATAAGTAATTAATGATAAGGATAAAATATATTTTTTCTTGATTTAGTACAATGGACAAGTAAAAGTGAAAATACATTTTTATATAGTGGATAAGTAAAAGTGAAAGGGCGCGGTAGATAGTGAAATAAGGCCCTTGATTTCACATGCAAAAACAAATGATGTCCCACTACCCATTGCCACATTTTAAAACCCCTACTCTTTGACTAACAATTCGTAAAGGTAGGTACTACTCCATTTATGTTGAGCAACCAAGAATCCATAAAAGCTCCAATTATTGTTACTGAGAGATCTGCTATACTGGAAAATAGATATGGACTCCTCAAGAATTAGTCTGCGTCCATTTAAGTTAACAGACGTTGATGATATGATGTTATGGGCAGGCGACGATCGAGTAACTCGGACCATCCGATGGAAGACTTTGACCTCGAAAGAAGAGGCATTGACCTTCATCAAGGAAGTGTGTATACCTCACCCCTGGCGTCGATCAATATGCATCGATGACCGCTCGATCGGGTTTGTATCAGTATTTCCTGGATCAGGTGAACTTATTTTTTCCTTCTTATTTATGCATTCAGTATCCGAAATTCACTGGCCCAACTAATTCCGATTCCCTGAATCAGGTGATGATAGAAGCCGAGGTGACATAGGATATGCTATTGCAGTTGAATATTGGGGGCAGGGGATTGCTACAAATGCTATCAAAATGACAATCCCTCAAGTGTACAATGACTTTCCTGAAATAGTAAGGCTTCAGGCATTAGCTGATGTTGAGAATAAGGCATCCCAAAGGGTGTTGGAGAAGGCTGGGTTCATAAAAGAGGGCATATTGAGAAAATATGGCTACCACAAGGGGAAAATAGTGGATCTGGTGATGTACAGTCTCTTATCCACTGAGTTTGACATGTAATTGCTCTTACTATGTAGAAATCTTTGTGTTGACTAGAACTCAGCAGAGTTTTACTCTAGAAAAAGGTCATTCAGGTTTTATGTTTTACATAGTATCAACTAAGTCAAATGTGATCAGGTAATGTAGTTCAGAATGGGTACTGAATGTTTGTTTGATTTTATTTTTGACAAATAAATTTGACGCCACAGAATATGATAAAATTGTTTAACGCTCGGCAAAATACATAGTTTACCCATCAATCTTGCAGCGAAATTCCTGGTACACACCTCTCCTTTATGGGAACCTTCTACGCAATCAACCTTTCAAAAGTGTCTAAGACATACTACAACTTTTGGCCAGATATCACTTGCGTAAACACACACAAAAAAAAGCACATGAAACTCGTAAAAAATCTCATTTTTTGTCTCCCCTCCCCACAGGAACCCCTCTGCCTCCCTTTGGTCTTCTTCTTCAGATCACCCTCTCCCTTATCTTCTTTCCCAAATAGAATTTTTGAAAGAACATAAAATTTTAGATCTAAATTTGAGCGGGTTTTGTTGGTTTTATTGTCTAAATATTGTGAAAACTATTTATTTGTGGTAGATTTAAAAGCTTTAACAGTAGTATTGAAGGTTTGGTGAAAAAAATCTAGAATCCACCATTGTTGGAATAATGAAAAAAGTTTGAAAATTCAATTAAGTCTTGTTGATTATTGGGTTGTTGAACTCAATTTATTGCTCGATTATTTTCGGCTAGTTGTTTAGATAGTGTGGTTGAATTTTGATATTGTTGGAAACTTTCTCACAAACAACCATGGTGACAGCGACAATGATGCTTAAGATAGAAAATGGGAAGATGGGTTTTAATCGTAATTTCTAATAATTTTTTCCTTTTTAAAGTCAATGACACGTGTCACGAGCCTATTAGGGTGACTTTGAAAAATTGGTAATGCACAAAAGTGATGTTTTAGCCACACTTTTGAAAAGTTGAGTGTGTAAAAGATTTTCCGTGAACGAGACGTATGTAACAGGAATTTCGCTGCAAGGTCGATGGGTAAACTATGTATTTTGCTTTTAATGCTCTTAGCTAAATTCATTTAATTAGGTGTAATGAAACAGAAAATGCTGTGAAATATAAGGGATTAGGAAAAAAAACATTTGGGCCAGAAAAAGTTGTTTCATTGAATTAGGTGTAATGAAATAGATAAAGGAAATATTGAGTAAAGTACTCAACCTGTAAGTTTGAATACCTCTGTGAATCATAAAACATTTATAATGTCATGCATATGCATGTAAATGTGATATCATGCATAGGTATACGCGTACATAACATAATCAAGCCTCTGAGGGCATCCTATCATATCATCCCGGCCTCTGTGGGCAAAATCATCAATGTATACCAACTGATCGGGTGGTGGTGTGTATATAACGACATAACCTTTCCCTATACCCCATATACACATAATATACGCGTATATAACGTCATCTGGTCACGGGTCAATGTGCATGTATAAATGAATGCAATGCATACTGAAGTAAGTCAATAAGATCTCTCGGAATGTCATAAGATCATTATGCCTTCGATGAATATTATGATAAACTTTATCAACTTATATATTTCTGAGACACATGAATAAATAATATAATAATATGACACATGGGTAATCAAGAACATAGGCAACCCTAGTAATTCTATGAATAAAATCATTTATGAAAGTTGCACATTTGCTCGTTTCGCTTATATCATATAGATCATGACTAAAGGAAAGAAGGGATAGCCTTAACATACCTCAAGTCGTCAATGCAACACAATAACAAGCTTATGACAACTAGCGCACCAACCCTATAATAAAGAAATACATGTACAACTTAGATGGCACTAGTATATCACGTATCTCAAACAATAACTCGATTCTAAAATAAAACGGGCAGCATTTACCTAGTTTTATACATTCCAAAAACCACTAAGGGTCATCAACAACCCAACAACAATAACTATAACCAACAACAACAATATAATTCAATATGAGTTTCTTCGATTATTTTAACAATCATATTGAGAGGCAAGCTCGTTTTTACTCATAACAAGATATAAATTGAATCCAACTCTTATTCCATAAATTAGTTTACAACCTTCAAAATATCATATTTGTATGTACTATATTATTTCTAGTTCAAAACATCCACAAAATGCCTTTCAAAACAGCCTCATACGTCTAGCACTTTAATTTTTTTCGTCGATCACTTGTTTTTCATCTTTTCTTCTTCAATCAACTTAATTAGCACCTAGAAAAGTTTAACAATAGCAGCCAAAATATTATCAAACTATTTCTCACAAACTTCCAGCCACCACAAACTATATATTTTGCCACAAAACAGTCCAACCAAAAAGACAAATATATCCCATGTTCCTTCAAGTGTTGTCTTATGATTTTTCACTCAACCAACACAACCAACACTGATTAACCTTAGGCACAATCAAGAAGATATTATACATACCTTGGACAACAGCTACAACTCGAAACCCTATCTCAACTTAGCTCACAATAGCCCTCAATCACACCACAACATCATAGAAGCATTCTCTTGTACTCTTTAACACTTTTGATAGTGATTTGAGTTGATTTCCCTTGAGTTTGGTTCTTGGTATCTTGGGATATGTTAGGGAGGGTTTTGGAGATCTTGAGAGTGTTTTGGTGTAAGTAATCTCTGTATTTTTGACGAGATATAAGGGGATAAGACCACTTATAAGCCCACTGCCTCAATTCTCCAAGCAGGTGGATAAGCTGCCTGCTTGGCAGCTTGAGCAGTGCAACTTCGGACACTTGTATCTCTCTACTCTGATATCGTATTGATGAACGATTTTCAGTGTGAGAAACTATACAAATGGGTATTTAATTACATATAAAGATCTCCATGTAACTCTCAATAGATTGAGAGAAAACTACATCGCAACTTGGCCTATAAACCTACCAGTTTCTCCCAAGTGCGGTGACGTGACTTGGCGACCCTGCTTTAAAAATTCATATTTCTCTACCCCGATGTCATATGAATAAATAGTTTGGATCGTTGGAAATCAAGTTCCAAGACCTTCATTTTGGGTATAATATGTCCCAAAAAAAACCTCATATAACAAATGAAATATATTGCTCAAAACTTCGTTACAAGGCAAATACTTAGTCGATTTTTCTGCAACTTAAAATCTAAGTTTTCCTAAATTTTATATTTTAACATCTTATATAGTCATATCATGACTTTAAACTCATTTAAATCATGATTAACTAGTCTCTTGTTCATCTTAACTTACTTAAGACTTCGGTAAACTTTTCTTATCCTTGTAGAAGGATTTCGTCCTTTTTGAGTTTATACTAAATAATCCTATAATGAAAGTGACATCTGAAGTACGGGGTGTGACAACATTAAATCACTTTATATACTTTCAAAGAGAATCTCATTTCCGAACTTACATCAATTGGCTTACGACGTACTTTCACGTACAAAAATATGGGGTGTGACAAGGGGGCCTATTTATAGTTATTAAAAGGTTAATAACGTAATTTATCAATTATTAGGGGATGAAGGGTCTATTTTAATAAGGAGATAGGCCAAAATGGTTAAAAGTGCAAAAAATGGTCATTGCCCAACGGTCATTTTTTATTTTGACCATTGGCAACGGTCAGAATAAAAAAAAATTACAACATAAACTGCACTGGACCGGGCTGGAAGGGTTAGCAGGCTAGCCGGGTTCGGTGCACCAATAGCAAAAAAAGGCCCGACCCCGTCCGACACAACCCACGTACCCTAGTCAATCTGTCACACCACTTACCAAACCGGACCGACACAAACTAAATCGGGTCGAATGGATTGTTAATGGGTCGGGCGGGGCCGATTAACACCCTTACTTCATAATCACAAAAGATTAGAATCATTACATACGACAAATGGTCCAAAAAGAAGGCATCAAAGAGAGTAAAAATTGTGTGGGGTAGCCACTTTTTAAAGTGGTATTTATTTTTTATCCAGCATTTTCAATATTTAGCAATAGTAGTCACTAGTTTATTAAAACTAATATGAAAAGACTGTGTTACTCTTTCTTCTATCTCTTTCATGTTACAGAGAATAACTGTGCCACCGTCTATGAGACGACGACTGTCGTGGCTAACCGTGCACTTCCCCCACCCAAAGCTCAACGGTTCACTGACTCTACCACCAACACCCACAGTGCATCTTAGCATCCACACGGCAATGGGTTACGTAATTGCACGAACTGACAAATTACACAAACGAACGAAACTTAAATACGCCACTTCTGCTCTCCTCATGTCATTTTTCACCTCACAGTAAAATGTATGTATGTATACAACATTTGTGGAGAGAGAAACGCTAAATTTCACACTCTTCAGTCAATTTCAGTGTACATGTACATTTGTGAAGTAGAAATGGTAAAATATGCACATTTCAACTACAACCTATACATACACCATTTTTGTATCTATACATTGACCTACAGATACAACTGTGTACCTCTACATTTGGATCCTAAACTTACAGTTACAAGTTCAAAAGTTAAGGACACTTGGTTTTGAACTTCGAGTTCCAAGTTCAAAAGTTAAGGACACTTGGTCCTGAACTTAGAATTACAAGTTCAAAAGTTAAGGACAATAGGTCCTGAACTTACAATTATAAGTTCAAAAGTTAAGAACAATAGGTCCTGAAGTGTTGAACTTAGACTAACAAGCTCAAAAGTTAAGGACAATAGATCCTGAACTTAAGCTAAGAAGCCCAAAAGTTAAAAACAATAGGTCCTGAACTTAGACTAAAAAGCTTAAAAGTTAAGGACACTTGGTCCTGAACTTACAGTTACAAGTTCAAAAGTTAAGGACACTTGGTCCTGAACTTAGACTAACAAGCTCAAAAATTAAGGACAAGTAATCCTTAACTTAGAGTTACAAGCACAAAAATTAAGGACATGTGGTCCTGAACTTCGAGTTCCAAGTTCAAAAGTTAAGGACATGTAGTCCTGAAATTCTGAACTTAGAGTTGCAAGTTCAAAAGTTAAGGACATGTAGTCCTGAAATTCTGAACTTAGAGTTGCAAGTTCAAAAGTTAAGGACACTTGGTCCTGAACTTTATGAGTAGAAAGGGTGTTTTCGTCCAGGCAGGTAAAGTTTATTAAAGCAGT